GTTTTTTGGTTTTGGGTGGGGTTTGAGTGTTTGTTTGCAGAGTTTTTAAAACCTTTTTTTTTTTTTTTTTTTTTTTTGGTATATGCCAATTTTGACTTTTGGGCATATGTAAACTTTTAGCATAGGTCCTAACCAATGTATTACCAGTGAGAAATCTGAACCCTTATTGGTGGTCAGGAACTATCCCTTTAAGAAAGGAAAATCTTATGTTGCCAGGTCTGATCAGTCATTAGATGAGTTCTCCAGCTGTCTGCTGATTACAGCTACACAGAACTCCACTTTAAATAAAGTTCAAACTATCCCCTTTGTCTTTAGCAGAGATGTTAAGCTAATTTATCAATCAAGCTTTCATTTAGTGATACCTTACTTAAAATGAAATGTCAATTGTGTATGTTTTATTATATATTGCTTTGATTTGTTGAAGCTGTCATTAAAGCAGACTACTGAAACACACATGCACAGATATCCCACACACACACACGCATACACACACACACACATACACATAAACAGTGCCGATGCTACACCCCAGTGAATGCTCGGAGACAGTGAGAAAGTGACTGATTGCCTAATTTTTTTTTTTTTCAATCAGAAAGAAACACAGAAGAGAGAGCTGTCATCTTCCCTCTGCCAACGGGATATATATAGCAAGTAGGTTCTCTTAAAAGTCAAGATGAAAACATTTGCTTTGTTTTCAGTGCATAGCTGTAACACGGCTTTGAAACCTGAAGCAGGGGAAAGATGCTCCTTCATGTCTCCCTCAGTAAGCAGGAGAATAACGAACAACAAGAAGGTTCCTCTGAAATGCCTGACCTAATATTTGACAGATCGTCAAGAGATCTGTATCCAGGGACCAAAACCAGATTTACAGCCAGGATTCGCTCATATTATATTTTATTCCAGGATTTTATCGAGTTTCTTTATACGGACCACCAATCTAAAATGATCTAAACTGATTTCTCACTTTCTTGTCTGAGCTGTCCTTTACTTTAAACAAGGCACAGTCAATCAAAGCCCGTCCTCGCTTCCTAGCCACTGCAGCCAGACTCACACAGCCGTCCTGCAGCAAACTGCCAGCAGTCACAGAAGACCCATTGCACTCCGTGTCCGTAGTGCAAATGAATCACACATTTGCAAAGCTGTAAAACGCCATTGATCAATGCTTTCGACGCTCACAATTCCCACTCCGGATTCACAACAAGGAGTTGTGAGTGAGATGGTTTTAAACCCAAATGTGACCAAGCTGTACTGCAGTAGCCACTTTTCAACTCAAGGAGGGGCAGCCTCAAGATGGTTTTAGGCCAAATATTGCAGAATTAAACAAATTTACAAGAAAATGTTGCAATTTGATCGGAAGGCACCTTTAGGCACCTCAGGACCTATACAGCTTACTTACAAAATGTTGATTTGGGGTTTAGTTACTCTTTCAGCTGTCTTAAGCTGACTGCCTTTTCAGGGCGAAATACTTCTCTTTAATATATATTTCCCTGACATCATTGTACATCATATAACCTAATTAAAGAACATTTAACAGCTGCTGCCAAGAAACTGTTCATAATGAATTATGAGAGGCTTTCATTAATGTTTCTACTACTTTTTACTCTGCCTACTTGCTGTTTTTGTGTACCTATCTGTGCACTCGGGTCGTCATTTTAACCTACATTTCTGACAGTTAGAGGCTGCAAATGACTTGAGACTAGGGCTGGTTCACTTTCCAGCTGGACATCAACTTCAGACAAACGGCCAGAGCTACAACGGAAGAGGTTAGATTAAAGCATGTTAATGTCTTAGCCCAATAGAAGAACAGACCTAAAATTGGACATCATCCACACTTTATCATTGCTGTTCTCCTTTCAGTGTGAATGAGCCTGATATTTTCGGAGCCAAAGAAAAGTATAGAAATTACACTTTCTACACAGCTGGTAGAGCCTTTTAGGGTATGAGTACAGATGCATGTCAGACTTTCTTTTTTTTTATTCGTAAAAGCCAGGTATCATTTCCCTTTCACTTCACAGCTATCCACTTCTTCACGTTGGTCCATCTAAAATCCCAATAGAATACATGAAAAATACATGGCAAAATGTGAAAAAGCTCTAGGCGTGTAAATTTAATCTTGCAAAGCATTGTAACTCATCTGTTCATTTTGGTAGCTCCATAACTTACTCCAGTTCTCTCTCTCTCTCTTTTTTTTTTTTTTCCTTTTTGCAAAGCCAGCTGCATTAGTTGGCAGGTGAGAATGAAACAAAAATATTGATTCAGGACAAACAAGTAGCTGCCGACTGCCTGACGAGGCAGAACTTTAAACGTAAACAGAATAAAAATAGCGGTATCGATTGTAGCAAACAGCCACTACTACCACACTGACGCGGACACAACTGGTAAGTAAATAAAATGCTCTGATTCAAATATAAAATGAAGGAGCACTGTTGGGACTGTTTGTTACGTGTCACTTTAGATTTGCTGAGTAAATCCCTGCGCCCCGTCCCTTTTACCTTCTCATAAGGCTCAACATACCCCAGTTCTCAGAGGAGCTAATCTCACTAAGTAATCTTAAAGATGCACGAGCACGGAGGGGGAAAGTCCTGGCTTCGGCACTTAAAGATGCACAACACAAAACTCCAAATACTGTATGCATGCATTTATTAATCCGTTCTGGCAAGTAATCTCGCAATGTTTATGCGCCGGGCTAATCTTTCATTTCCTCTGCTGGGGGACCGAGGACGAGACGCCCACTCGCAGGTAAGCCTCGTTCCCAAGTGCCGGCCATAGCTGCTAATCCTAGTTCCAGATATGGATGAGACAAACTGGAGGAGACGGAGGGTGGGGGGATTTTAATGTTGACATTCGTTTGCGTCAGTTTGGATGCGTGACTGGAAGGCAGATAACAAAGGGAAAGCAGACTTTGATGAGCTTTAAATGTCGGTGATTTATTTATATATTTAAAAAAAAAAAAAACAGGTCAAAAATGTCAAATCTTTAGACATGTTACTGTCGGTTTATTGGAAAAGTTAAATTTTGTATCGATATACAGTGTCGTTGCTACATTATGACTGCATATATTTCAATGGGAACATATGTGACAGACCAAGCAAACTATGGGAGTTGTTTTGTAAATAAAAGGGAAAAGTTTGACACTTTTATTTTTGCATATAAAAAATGCACTTCAAGGGATGAAAACTTTTGCAAAATGACTCGGTCTCTGTAAGATAAGACACAGATCCCACACATCATCATTTGAATTTAGAAATGAACTTTCACCAGGTCATTCTAACAATTCAAGGTTCCTCGCTGAGGCAAGTTGATAAGCACCTGGGCATAACCCTCGCATGAATACTTACTGGTATTCATATTCAAAATATGTGTCTGCATTGTAACTACGACTGAGCGACTGTAGCTTTGGTGTGAAATGCGTTGAGTGGTCTAGAAAAGCCAATTCAAGTTAAGGGCAGTTATGTAAACGGCTCCATTGTAGTTTTGGCTTTATGCTTAAGGTTGTTGTCCTGCTGCTAGGTGAACCTTCACCTCAGCCTGTAACAGGTTTTCTTCCAGAACTGACCTGTATTTTGTGGCATTAAAGTAAAAAGACGTCAGTACAAATGCCACACTTTAGAAATTTCTGACTTACAACAACCTTTTACTTTGTGTTGGTCTGTTAAATAAACAGCCTCAATAAAAAAAAAAAAATATATATATATACTTTGAGGAGTCTGGTTGTCATGACAAAATGTCAAAAATGTCAAGCTTGCATACTTTTGAAATGAACTGTAAAGGAATATTACCTAATCCATCAAGTTTGGGTCTGGTTCTCCTGTGTATTATTTTACCAGTTAAAACTACATTTTGGTAGAGGGATTTTGCCTTAATTATACTCAGACTAACCCTAAATACTTGAATAGTACTCACAAGAGTTACCTTCTGACTGGAAGGTTTGTGCGGTGAGTGTGCTGAGGATGTGTGTGACACAGACAGACACCGAGAGGGCAGCCTTCCTGACTCTAGAGGCCCAGAGGCTTGCTGACCTATTTCTGCCTGAGACTAGCTGCTTCATCACAGACAGTCACCAGCAACAGCACCTGGACTGTGACTCTGTGTGTGTGAGTGTGTGTGACTGCGTGTGCATGTGTGAACACACACGTAAGCCAGGTATTGCTGTACATCGCTTTGTTGCTCGCTGATGTGAGAATACGCTCATTCCCTCCTCCTGTCTCCTTTCCTCACTCTCCAGCTTTTTCCTAAGGCAGCACTTTCCACTCTCTCACACACACATGCGCATATGCACGCACACAAACACACGCACACAGCCACGGCTCTCGCCTCTTTCAATCTCGCAGGTGCTGCCTGCTGTGATGTCCAGTGTCGAGTGTAGCCGTGTCTGCGTTCGCAGCGGGACCGTCCACGCTCCCTCGCACGAGCCCATGCGCGCGCGCACACACACACACACACGCACACACACACACACACACACACACACACACACACACACACACACACACACACACACACACATGTATCTTGGAGCATTAAATGTGTTCGCAGCAGGGTAAACCTGATCCAAACAGCCAGCCAGAAAGCCTAATGATTGATGATGAGAGTGGAATAACCGCAGCTACAGCAAAATCACACAAACAGGTTATCTGGGACCTTGAGGCCCTGAGCTGCTTTAGCATAGCAGAAGACCAGTGCTTTGAAATGTTACAGACAAAAACCAAAGTCCTGCACGTATCATCCAATGTGGGCACAGATTGTGGCAGTTTTGATATACCTCTCCATGTAGCATGGCATGGCATAGGAGGCACTGCTACTACTTAAAAATAATAATAATAATAATAATAATAATTTGTTGTGGCCCCAAGGCTTCATCAGCAGGACAGTGACTAGCTAAATCTAGGTCTAACCAAGCTTAATATCGATTTATAGACTTGATCTGGGCATCTCTTTTTAAAACTTAAGCAACTTGAAAATAATGTCTTAGCTTATGAACGTGGAGCTTCTGACGATGAGCTTTTAATTAAAAAAAATGTACAACTTAAGCTGGACTGGAATTAGCCTAAATAATACAGAAAAGCATTTAATTTCTAATGTTTTTGATAAGTTACATAATATAAACAGTTTTTTACAAAATGGCTCTGTGGGGTGGTGGTGGGGGGGGGATTCTAAGCCAAGCGTTGCCTATCCCTAACCCTGCATGTTAACGCTCCTGCCTCTTTCTCCCTCTGCTTCTTTTGCAGGTACTTTGAGACAACTTTTTGCTGAAGTGCTGAGGAGGCAGGCAGGTAAGCAGGCACGTCAGCAGCGGGGCAGAGGTGCTGTTAGTCTGATGAGCAGTAAAGCTGTCAACACCAGAATAGCTGGGAGGAGATGCATTTGCTCTCATGTTTACCAAGCTAAAACTCCAGTCCGCCTAATATCCACCATGTTGTGCCAAATGCTACAGAACCTTTACAAGCCACATTCTCAAACTTTAAAGGGTGAAATATGATGCGGGGTGAAGCTCAACTCTCACAAGTCGAGGCAGCCGTCGTACATCTCCTGCTGCGTTTGGAGAGCATCCTCGGCTGTCGAGGACTGGATTTGTTGTTGCGATAAAACATGATGAAGGTGTTTCTCTCAAACCAAAAAGTGTGATTGGAGTCTTTCCCACTGACGTAAGCGTTCTCAAAGAAAGCAGTGATGTAATGGAATATGAAGGTACTAGTCAGTTTCCTTCTTTTCCCTTCCTCCTCCTCTATGTCTCTGTTTCTCCCTCCCTCCTCTTCATCTCTGTTCTTCTCTTTGTTTTTTTGTTTTCTCTCTCTCTCTATTTCTCTCTCTCTCTCTATTTTTTGTCTTGGCAGCCTCCTGTTTCTACCCCTCCGGGATCCCTGAAACCAAACCCAACAGCTCCCTCGCTTGGTGGAAACACGAAACTACGCCAAGTGTCAGCTGCTGCTTGTGTACTCTCTGTCTTCGTGTGCACATACCTTCCATCTGTCCACAAGTATACTGCTGCACATTTCTCCTCGCCCTTTCATTTCATTGTGTAATACTCCATTCAGGATGCCAGATTGGTCCTTCAATGAATTGTTATTTTCTAGACACGCAGGCAGCTCCTCTGTCATTGTAACTGCCAAAAGCGTGAAACATTTATTGGACTCAAGTCCCCACTAAGGAATCCAACGCTAATGCTTCTCCTTCACCTCCCCTCCTCTTCTTGTCTTCCGTCCTTGTTCTCCGTCTTCATCAAAGCGAGGAGCCACCAGCTCTCTTTGCCTCTGGGAGACCCCACATCGAGACGCACTTTCTGTCCCAGCCTCCTCTGAAGATGCAACTGAGACGAAAACATTAGAGTTCTTTAACAGCTCTGATGTTTCATGGCGGGGACCTAAAGACAGAGCTTTTTTTTCCTCAATGACTTACGTGACTTTCTATTTTATATAAATATACATATATACTGTATATAAAACTTTAAAAACATGCACACAGTGCTGTTTGTGCTATTTTTCTTTCCCTGGCAAAGAACAGATACATTTTTACTGCTGTAGTATGCTCATGCAGACAGATTCGGGAGTCAATCACACACACTCCAGTTTGACTCTGTTACTAAAACAATGCAACTAGGTTCAGTGTACTGTGCCAGTTGTTAAAACGTTTTTCCAAATATGGAAGCCTAGCCAATTGCATCAAGTCACTGACTTTGCAACGGTGCTTCCTCCTCAATGCGGGCAGAGTTACAGGGGACAGTTGATTGCATGAAGTCATAAAATTTGCAGCAATCCCTCATGCTGAGCATTGACGTGAAAACAATGTACTCAATGCATTTTTGTATCTGGGAACTGAAAACGTTATGGAGGCGTTGGAGTGCATCTGTGACCGCAACAATTAACTCTGATGTATCAAGAAGATTTATGATTACTAGGGACAAACTGGAACCTCTTAGATAAACCAAACTAGTGCAGTTCTCCTGAACCCTGAAGCTTTCCAAGACAATTCTGTGATCGACTGAATCCAATGAAGTACTGAGATCTAATGGAACAAACGCAGGTACAGGTCTATTATGAGCTATGAGGATATCATTAGTGACTTTCAGGAGAGTTGCTTCAGTGCTATGATGAGCTCTGAAACTTGACCAAAACTCTTGAAACAGTTCATTACCATGGAAATACTCACACATTTGATTAGCAACTTTCCTTTTTAAGATTTTGAATGAGAAAGGAAGACTGAATCAAGTACTGTAATTTGTTACTGCAAATTCTAGACAAACCTAGTCTTGTCTGAGTAAATTTATTCAGTGTTGGAATTATCCTGGATTAAGAAATAAATAATAATAAAAATATAAAATACTTATAGCAAAAATAATTAGAACCCTGAATGTGTTGTGCAAATCTTCTTTTCATCTCTACATGGGTCAGAACTTATTTTGTGCTTTGGGTCATATCAAGACCATGAATGTCCTCTAAGGGTTGGTTGTGGCAAAATGTAATGAACCCATAAACAAATAGTTGAAATATTAAATAAACTGCTCTCTCTGGATACTTCTTAAGGTTAAATAACATTGAACATTGCTTTAATTTGGCACTATATAGAAAAAAAATCTGCTTTGGTTTGACTGATAAAAAATATTTAAGCACACAACTATCAAGAAAGTTTTGTTTATGTGTCTCTCTAGGCCACAAGTGGCCCGCCATGTCATTTTATGTGGCCCGCCCCAGCATTTTATAGGCCGATGATTGACTTAAAATAGGTTTTGAGCACGAATTGACTACAAACTACATCTCCCACAATGCATTCCGATTGTTACCAGCCAAACATTACGGCTTCTCGCCACTAGAGAGCAGCAGAGTCACCTCAAGCTGCTTATTGATTTTCCCAGCAAATAAAACTGAGACATCGACAAGTTAACATCAAAACGTCCAAGAAAAGAAAAATCGATTTACAAGTAAAACTATGAATGAAGATGTGTGTGAGTTGGTGTCAGGGCGGCAGGTGGCGCTAGACTTTTTTTTGTTATCCGTTATCTTGACCGACAACATAAAAAAATCGGCCATATACTATTTTTATCCATGAAATTACAATCATATTAACATCGGCTATTTAGTCGCATTTTATGCGGTTTAGTTAATATTCACCGTGAATCCAGATTCCATTACAGATTAAGCAGATAAATGCATCTACATTTTTCTCCGTAGTGACAAAAACCACTGACTGAGGCCCCAACAACTTTTAATAAATTAAATTAAGCGACTTCACTTAAATTACCAGCACTTCACCCGCTGGGGTCTGAACGCACTTCCTCCTGGTCCCCATCTGCAGAAAAATCTGCGCTAATTCATCAGTCAGTTGGATCTGTCTGATCCAAACAGATCAACTGAACTCTGTGAGTGTTTTACGCTGTGCGGTCCGGTGTGC